GGTGGCCTCATAGTTGGTTACGGGCCTGATAGTAAGTAAAAACTAAACTTCAAATAGAAAACAAGACAAGAAAAACTGATTTTTCTTACCCCATTGACATATTTGTTTTAAGAAAAAACTCACTTAATATTCAGTACATGATGACATAATTTTCATTTTGGGGTATATCTTGATTTAAGAATGTTCAGATATTTGTACTGGAAAATAAGACAAAAACACTGAGAAAATCACTTTTTTTGCAGTGCAGTAAGCATGTGAGTCTCTTCGTAGGCCTGATTCATGTATTCCTTTAGCCCATCTGCTCGTACTGATCAGACTCCTGACAGCAATAGACAGGGGATCGGGCCGTGGAGCTCGCTCTCGGGCAACTGTCATGGATCAACAAGCATGAGATGGGCAGGCTGAGAAAATGGAAATGGTTTTGGGTGCTGGTGGGAAGTAAACTTGGATTGGGAGGTTCATCTTTATTGCATTACTCCGTGTTTCATGGGAAAACATTATTAGGAGCATGTTTGATGCTTCTTGTCTGGCCTCCTCCCCGCTTTCTTTCAGTTTTCCTCTGATAGACAAGAGTAATAAATGTAACATGATAGAGAGATTTGTTTTCTTTTTGCTTTAAAATTACATGCCAGACATTTCCCGAGCACCACAGGTTACCTCATACAAAGCAGCCCTGAAGTGAAGAGCCTCGCACTGCAGTTGTGTCCGTGTACAAAGTGTTTCACGGTAAAAAAGTCAAACAGAGCCGGTGCTTCCTGCAGATGCATGCACCGAATTCAAGCTGCATTAAGGATTACACTGAGCCAAACAACGTCAATTAATGCTGCTTCATGAGGTACGAAAACACAGCATCCAGCAACGCCGGCGCAGCTCAAAACGAGAAGACAGGAGTTTCCTGTCTGACAAGCGTCTTAACAAGCTGGGTGGTTGAGTGTTTTAGGGGCTTCCTGCCGCCTCGGAACGTCTGCATGTGAATTTGGATGGAAAGAATAACAACACAAACAGCTTTGGCAGGCTGTCATCACCGAGAGCGGCCTTTCGTCCCTGATTTGATGTTTATTCTGATTGCACTTCACCCTCACAGTGCTGTTATTGCGTTCGCATTTCCTGCATCGCTTAACACAGTTTTTGACATTGCCGATTGATAATTGATTGACAGCCTGATAAAAGGGTTTTTCGATCATTTTTCCCCAGGAGCTCCAAACCATCACAGCCAGTCCACCCTGCGGCCGCCCATCCCTCCACCGCACAACCACCAGACGCTGTCGCACCACCAGTCCTCTGCCAACTCGCTCAACCGCAACACACTGAGCGGCCGCCGCAACCCCATTCACGCCCCTCCGTCCGCCCCGGGCGAAGGGCCCACCACACCCGAGTCAGTGCAGCTGCAGGACAGCTGGGTGCTCAACAGCAGCGTCCCGTTGGAGACCAGGTCAGTGACCACTTTTTGCACACAACACATCTGGAGTGTGTTTCCCAAAAGCAACCATGGTCGCAAGTTCAGTCGTTACCAATAGAATGTAACCGAACTGGTGAGCATAATTGGCTAACGATGCTTTTGGGAAAAGCAGCCCTGTATAATTAAGAAATTAACAATGAGTAGCTTAAATTTTAGACACAATATGAGACACAATAAGTATTTTTGTTTATCATTTTGTCTCGGCACTCCTGAAACTCTGTTTCTAGTCAGTTTGGAGAACCGAATCTAACTGTCGTATAAATGGAAATAAATGACAGTTTTGCATTCAAGAAACTTCACTGTCACACAGTGAAAAACACAGTGGTTAGAGACACATTTCTCACAGAAAGGAGCATTCTAATAGCAGGTTATATCCTAATTCTGACAAAACAATCTCTTTGTGCCCCCCAGGGAGCAATTATTGAGTGCAATATGACAGAAATTGTGTCTCAATCCAAAGAGTTGTTTTTATTAAAATTCTAGGAGTGTTATTAGTTGGGTGGAAGCAGTTTAGATATTTTGACAGGTCTAGTCATATGATTTTTTTTTTTTACCTATTTATCTAATTTTTTAAAATTGCAGAAGTAAATAAATAGGTAAAAATGTGTCATTTTTAAATGTAAAAACTAATTTGAAAACAGTGCCTAGTTCTGCATTTATTTCCATAATTATAGACTATAGTATTACAATATAAACAAAAGTTTTTGTTTGTTTGTTTGAAAGAAGTCGCTTCTGTATGTTCGGTAACACTTTACTTGAAGGGGTGTGCATAAGACTGACATGACACCTTCATAATCATGACATGACACATGTCATGAATATGAAGGAGGTTTTATGCATGTTTATGACAACTGTCATTAAGTGTCATTCGCTCAGTTATGTCATTTTTAATGCAAATATGACATTATTTGACCTAACCCTACCCCTACCCTTACCCCTAACCATAGCCCATAACAAAGACATCTCAAACAATGTCATCTTTGCATTAAAAATTACATAACTGAGCGAATGACACTTAATAACAGTTGTCATAAACATGCATAAAAAACCTTCATATTCATGACATGTATCATGTCATGATTATGTAGGTGTCATGTCAGTCTTATGCACACCCCTTCAAGTAAAGTGTAACCGTATGTTCTCCAAAGCTGCTTTTATTTGATTGATAAGGCAGTAAAAAACAACGTCATTTTCTCCTGTGGTGCAAAGCTGAATTTTCAGCAGCCATTACTTCAGTCTTCAGTCTCACATGATCCTTCAGAAATCATTCTAATATGCTGGTTTGCTACTCAAGAAACATTTTTTTTTATTATAAATGTAGAAAACAACTTTTTTTATATTATAAATGTATTTAGTAATTATAAATGTGTCCTTGCTGAGTTCTTTTCTTGAACTTTTGAACGGTAGTGTATAGTAGGGTAGGCTATTTCTCTCTATTTCTGTGCTTGCAAATATGTAGTACGCTCAATAAATTGTGAAACAAACATACACTAGTGTGTGCGTACAGATCACACATGCACACTGTATTATGCATGCAGGGCTTTTAGAGTATTAGCATTCATAGTTCCCTCAAATACTAATGCTCTGTCTCTCATGCGTACACATTCACTCACCCCTGTGCCTCAGCTTTCTCATTCACACTCTCTCTCTCTTTCTTTCTGTGTAAGTTTCTCCTGCTGAGCAGAGGGTCACCTCCTCTGTTCCCAGATCAGAGAACAGCATACTCGCATGCACTATTCATGAGGCCGGGCTGCATGTTTAATTCACCAGGACAGGTCTCAGGCCTGTTGGAAGTGCAGGTTCCTGACTGGCTGTAATTAAGGCTGTCCTGTATGTCAGCATGGGCCATGCAGCTCTCAGACATGAGTGCTTTGGGACTGCTGTGTACAGGATTGGAGAGTGACAAGGTTTTGTTCAGTTCAGGGTCACCCTGTGACGCACACATACACTGACAATATGCCTGTGACCTCCGGCGTTAATTATCGGCTGTGTTTGATTGGCTTCTTTGTGCTGCTGATTATGTGGACACGCCCATCGGCACCTTCCTCATCAGAATTTACCCAGAAGATGTTTTGTGTGGTCTGTGTCAGGGCTTTTCAATCTTTACAGATCCAGAGGCCTCCCCCCAGCCAGACTCTGAGCCAAAATAGGGACTCCCAGTATTAAAATGCTAATTTTCTTTGTAACACTTTATAATAACGTTCATTAAGAACATTAAACTTATTATAAAATGCAAATAGATCTTTATTTAGAAATTGGTTAATAAACATGCCATCCCAAATCCAGCTCTTTATGCTTTATTTATTTTCTGCATGGACCCCCTGGAATGCCCTCAGGACCCCCTGAAGGTTGAAAACCCTGTGAGTTTCCAGTGGGAAAAATGATAAACAGCTACAATGTACAATAGAATGTAATATCAGTGCAGAAAACCTAGTGTTATGTTTTGTTCATGATCTTGCCATTGTTTATAATGTTTAGAATTAAGATGTTTGTAAATGCAATTTATTAAGCTTCGTTATTTCAAATAGTTTATGCTCATATGCTAATAAATACAATTTGTGCCACATTTAATTAGTCATTCTCACATTTCACTGGATTTTAATTTGAATTAACGCTACACCTCAAAGCATATTTCATTATTTACACATTCACACACACTAACCTTTTTTTTTGGATGTTAAAGAAATCTCTTATGCTCTTTTCAGCAGATTAGAATGATTTCTGAAGGATCATGTGACACTGTAGACTGGAGTAATGATGCTGAAAATTCAGCTTTGTCATCACAGGAATAAATTACATTTTAAAATATATTGCAATAGAAAACAGCCTTAAGTTGTAATAATATTTCAAAATATTACTGTAATTTTGATACGTAGATGCAAGTCTTGATGAGCATAAGAGAGTTTCAAAAACACAAAAATCTAAATTATTCCACACTGTATTTGTGTGTATGTATGTATCTGTATGTATATTACTATTTCTAAAGTACTATAATTGTAAATACATGAATAAATTCATCTATAAATGAATTTGTTTATAATATCGCTACAAAAAGCCTATTGTTAAGCAGCACTAAAGCTGACTGGTGGCAAATTATGATTTTTCTTAAATTATTCTCGTCGGGAAACTCCAGTGGGTTCCAGCATTGCATTCCGTCCTTTGGTTCTCTGCGCTGTCGTCATAAATCACTGGAAGTTGACAATGTGTGTAATATATATCGGCTTTATGGCTGGGTAATATTTAGACAGCTAACTGGCACTGGATAATTGTCACACAATCCTTCCTCATTTGCTCACAAAATTATGAAGCGGCCCTAAAATGAAGGCCTGACGTTCGTGGATGCTCAGGTGTGTTAGAATGCGCTCCTGTACTGAAGCCATCAGGACTACCCAGCAGCACTAAGCCTGCCATCTGCTGAGACAGAACCACACTCCCCACACCAATCCAAACCTCACCAAGCCAGGAAGCCGGCCCAAACTCTGGCCCCTCTCCCCGTTCCCCTGCTAGCAGGCCCCGCCCCTCTTACTGCAGCTTTTTAATTGGGGTTCTGTCAATGCAGATGGGCCACCTGTCACACACGCACACGCATGTGTAATTCACAAACTCATTTCCAATATATTCACATTCATTAACTGCGTTACTCATCGCATTTATGGAGGCTCTGAAGTGTGGCGAGCATGCGTGATATAGAGAACTGACAAGTGCAGATTGGACCACCAGCAGACCACCCCGGATCTGTGCTGGCACTGACCAGCATCACACACACCATTCCTGGGCAACAGGCGGGTTTGTGGGCCTTCTCAGTGGAATCCTGCAAGTGCCTGTTCACTTCACTATGGTCACAAGTGTTAACCTCAGAGACAGTGATCCACAAGCTCTTTTACATGTCGTTTCATTATGTGCTAAAGAAATAGTTCACCCCAAAATTAAAGCACTGTCATTCTTTACCCACCGTCATGTTGTGTAAAAAAAAAAAAAAAGCATATGGGCATTGGAGTGACAATTTAATTGTTTAATTAATGGTAAAATTTGACTTTTGAACTATCCCTTTAAAATACCCTAGAAGTGGATTAGAGACCAGGTTAAATAAATAAATTATTATTATTGTTATTATTATATATTCTTATATGGTCATTATTTTGCCCCATTCTTTTTTTTTTATGAAAAAAAATTTAAATAAAATAGTCAGAATAGCTATATTAAGCAAGTTACATTTTCAGAATAGTTTTTTTTTTCCCTCAAGATTTAAGGCATTTTGTCCTGAGAATAAACTCAAGAAATAATGGGGAAAAGTATTTTAAAGTTAATGTCACCATATCCCTAGAATAAACATTAAACTATGAAATTAACATTTTGTATTACTAGATTAAAATTCAATTTTGAGTTTAAACTTGTTTTCATATTACATATTATATTAGTGTCGTGTTTGTATGTTGTCCCCTGAGATTTTTTGAGAGATTTGGCCCCTCTTTTGTAAAATAATAATGCATAAAATTCTCAGTTTCTCAGTTAAAATTCTCAGTAATTTTAAGGTACAGTAGCAGCAGTAGCAAAAGCAGTCCGTTTAATTCTGATGCCCCATTTATGCTGTTTATTACCTTAATTTTATCTCTGGAGGTTTGCGGTCCAGTTTTCGCCCTAAATTGCTGGGTAAATTTCAATTACTTTCATTGAAAATAAATCTCTTCCAGTCATTGTATTTTTTTTTTTTTTGCAAACAACTGTCAGGGTAAACACCCCTTGATAGGTGGAAAATGGTCATTTGAATCTAAATTAAGATAAGTTTTTGGTGCAAGAAACCTTGACAGTTGTTATAAGTTGACTTCAGGGGGGGAAATAATGATCCCTATAAGAATATAAAAGGCAATTTGATATGAAAGCAAATATGTAATAAAAAAATTTGCTGCCATATTATGCTTAAAAAGGGATCCCGCACATTAAGTAGCTGAATAGATCAGAGATGTGTTCAGCTG